GGTGTGGTTTGGGCTTTGCTTCTGTGAAGATTGACAGCCTTGGAGACCCTGTGGGCAGTTCCACTCTGTCCTCTAGGGGCGCTGTGAGTCGGAATCGACTGGCTGTTTTGGTTCTCTAGTGCCACTCTAACAGAAACACCACAAGTGGGTGGCTTGGCCAAACAGGATTTATTCTCTTACAATTCTGAAGGCTAGAAGTCTGAGTTCAAAGTGCCATCTCTAGGGGCTGGATGAAAGCTTCTTGACCTTGGGCTTCAGCGCCACCTCTAGCTCCTGCCCACTGGAGCTGGAGGCTTCTCTTAACTCAGACAGCTGTTGAGGCTGACAAGCCCAAGGTCAACAAGTAAAATGGCAAAGTCTCAAAATTATCAAGCAACAGTCACTCACTCACTCACTCACTGCTGTCAAGTTAGATCCAACTCATAGCAACCCCTCTTTGGGTTTCTGAGGCAGTTATCACTACCGAAGTAAATTGCCCAACCATCCTTCCAAGGAGTGCCTGGTGGGTTTGAACCACAAAACAGCAGGCCACTAATTTAAGTCCATTAACAGTTTCATGGTCCCCAGTCCAGACAATATGGCAGGCCACCAAGATGAAGACTTGGCCAAATGCAGGATCCAGATGTGCCAAAAGCTAAGAGACCTTCCTCAAAGTGTCGTCTTATGCACTGGAAGCAGACCACATCCCTTAGGCAGCCACTCAGCTGCCCAGCCACTCAGCCAGGCCCAGTCAAGTTGACACACAACCTTTACCACAGTGGCAGTGGGTTTTTTAGCAGGGGGCTGGGTCCCTGCCCACCAGAGGGCAGCACTTGTCCCATCTCAGGCCAGCTGGCCTCACTCCTGGCCTTCCCCTTTCCTGGATTCCCACTCAGGGCTGTCACTTTTTATTATTTTAAACATAAAAGTAGACAGTAAACATATGTCCAATAACCACATTCAACACAAGCTGATGTTTTGGGTATACATTTGTTAAGGAATTAAACATTACAGATGTACTCAAAGCCACTCACCTCCCACCCTCCCTTCTCAGAAGCCATTCTCTGCTTCTGGAATATGCTTACTATATCCCCACCTGTCCATGGCAGTGCACACTACCCTCTAGTTCGTAAGTGGGTCATCCTCCTCTTCAAGATTCTTATCCATGCTCTTTAGACTCATCCATGTTGACACAAATGCACGTGTTTCCCTGTGGCATAGTGCTCCATGCAAGATAGACCCCTTTATCCACACTCCTGCTGTGGGTCATTTCCATATATTCTCCACCCACTCAGCCCAGCCTGGACACGACTGCTCATCCTGCTGGGTCCCTGTGCAGGAGTCAGGATGCACACTGAGACCAGCAATGGCACAAACATTCCAGGAGATATGGCCTAACTGTCCTCTAATGTGGTTATACCCACTTGACATCCCACAGCCCCACCAGGGGCCTCATTTACACACATCCCATCAATACACGGCATTGACATTTTGTCTTCTGAAAGGGAGAAGTTATGTACATTTCATTCCTTCATCATTCCTTCATTCAACAGTGTATTTGCTTAGCTCCTGCTGAGTGGCAGGCCTTGCAACAGTGTTGGGGACACAGGGAACAAAGGAAGCAGAACTCAGTGCAGTTCCAGAGTTGACATTCTCTTGTGTGTGTGTGTTTGTATAAAAGTGGGCAAAGAACAGTGACCACAGCCACCACGTATATTCTATGATACATTAGAAGGGGATCCGTGAAATACAAATACCTGGGTTTGGCTTGGTTTGACTGGAGAGTAGTTTTATAGGGTGGTCAGTGCAAGGCCACACGGGGAAGGTTGCATAGGAGCAAGGACTGGAAGAAGCAGTCTCAGCAGGAAGCCCGGAGGTGGGAGCTTGGGGAATGTTTTCAGAGCAGTGGAGACTGACAACAATTTCTCCTCAGTCCTATGAACACTGTTAAGAAGACAGGTGACATTCTAACCATTTTTCTGTAGATGCTAGGTTTTATTTCTCTGGTTATTTTTAAGATTTTGTCTTTGATGTAATGTTAGCAGATTTTGTACTAAAGTTTCCTATCTTTCCTTGAATATAAAAAATATACAGCCTTATTTCTCTGGTGAGACTCTATACTGCTTTTTCCCACCCTTGATTTTACCCTCTGGACTCCTGTTAGGAGGATGCTGAACCGTCCACTCTAGGCTCTATGCTTTTCAACTAGTCATATTTCTTAGTTCTTTATCCTGCTGCATTCTGGGCAATTTCCTTGGATACATCTTCTAGCCCATTCTCTCCTGTTGTGCCTGAGGGTCTAATCCTCCTTTTTATAGTGTCGACTCTCACTCAAAATGGATTATTCTCACGTGTGTTTTGCAGTTTTTTGTTGGGATAAAGTTTCTTTGGTGAGGGCAAGAGTAATGCGTTGCTGCAGTGACGCAGTAGTACTGCACCGCAGGGTTTCCAAGGCTGTAATCTTTACAGCAGCAGGTTGCCTGCTCTTTTCTTTCCCAGAGACGCTGGTGGGTTCCAACGTTTGACTTTAGCAGCCAAGTACCTAACCCTCGTGCACCCAGGGCTCCTAGGTGCTCCTCCAGCAATGCTCTTGCATTTGGCATTTGCTCCTGTCCAATCTGAGAAGTGTCCCTCTGGAAATGTTTCCGAGTTTCCTTCTGCCACAGGATGACTTCTGGTTACAATTTCCAGGCTAAGAGGTTTCTGGACCAACAGGTTTTGGAGTTTTCGATTATTAAAACCCAAGTCTAGTGGACAATCATAGCCATGAGTTCTGGGCTTCGGGGATTCCTCACCCCCAGGGTTCGGACAGAGCTTTCTAGTCATTTCCCACGCCTCAGCACAGTCGTTTTTTGTTTCGCTTTGCTAAGCATAGTTTTTTTCTTGGTTCACCCTTCCCCTGAGGGGCGACTTGTGGGGCAGGGGTCCCCCGCCCTGACAGTCACTCAGTTGTAGGCAGGGGCCTGTCGGGCCAGGACACACCGTCCTGACGGTCGCTTGGCCATGAGGTGCGCCCTATGGGGTCAGGGAACCTCGGTCCCAGCAGTCACCCGCCACGAGACGCGGCCTGTGAATCCCGGACGCTTCTCCCCTGAGCTGACCGCGCCTACCCGGCTCTTCCGGTGGCGTCGCCGGAAGCGGAAGTTCCCCGCACCGCCCGCTTCCGGCCGAGGCAGGGGAGGTGGCGGCTTGCTGACGGTGAGGCGTGAGTGGGGACTGAGTGGCTGGTGGTCGCCTCGGCCGGACCCTGGCGACGCGCCTCCGTCCGCAGCCCGTTCGGCCTCGGCCCGGGAGCGCGGAGGAGGAGGCCTAGGTGGGGCCGGAGCCGCTGGGTCGGCGGCCGCAGGGCCAGACCGGCCGGGCCGCTGTGCGGGGCGGGGCCGGGGCGGGTGTCCGCAGGTGAAGGTCCCAGGTGTCGGCGCCGCCGCGCTCGGGAAGGGCCGTTCGACTCGCACGACGTGTGACATTACATCCGCGGCTGTGGCTTCAGATGCCCGTGCTGCCTTGTGGGCCGAACCCCGCTGTGCGGTCCCGGGGTGGCAGGCGTGTGCGGTGCCGCGGTGCGCGTCCCCGCTGAGGGCCTCGGCGTGGCGGGCGTGTACGGTACTCTGTGTAGGTGTCGCCACTGGGGCTCGGGAAGTGGTAGGCACGGTCCCGTGGTTCCGTGTCCGCCCTGCTGTGACCCGAGGTGGTGGAGGTGTGTAGTACAAACGTGTGTGTGTCCTCCGTGAGGAGTCCTGGGGGCCACACTGACTTGGCCAAGGGTGGTGTCCAGACTCCAGAATTGAGGATTGGGTGGAAGTTTACGGAGCAAATTCACTTTCCACACAGCAGCTCACATACATACACTGACTGCAATCTCCCACAACACAACCACTCCCCTCCCACTTCCTCCCCATAGTTACCTCTTCCCTGCGTCCTTCCCTCCATGCACTCCTGCCCCCTGAGCTGTCTCCCTGTGCATAAGCAGCCCTTCTATTCTCCCATGATTGATCTCTCCAGGGAGGGTATCTACCTAATGTAAATGTTCAGCTCATATGCCTGTCTTTTGTTTGGCTGGAAGCCGTAGGAGTGGGTTCCCCCAATAGCTTCTTATTGATCCACTGACCATTTGGAGACGGGGAAGTTTGGTGTCTAACATTTCTCCCTTCCTGGAAAGCCCATCCCTCCCCTCACCTATAAACACAGGAAATCTCTAGGATGACAGGAGTGGGGGTTTTGCCTGCTGTGTGACCATGGAGGAGACGGACCGGGAAGCTGTGGCGACAGCGGTCCAGAGGGTCGCTGGGATGCTGCAGCGCCCTGACCAGCTGGACAAAGTGGAGCAGTATCGCCGAAGAGAGGCCCGCAAAAAGGCCTCCGTGGAGGCCAGATTGAAGGTATGGAGGCCGAGAGAGCAAGTTGCCCCTGTGCCGTTCCTGAGCAGACAGCAGAAGTCTAGAATTTCCGATTCCTTTACCAGCTAATTGGTTTTTGTGTGCTTGCTGTCGTCATGATCGCCATTGAATTGGACTTTGTAATGGCATGGAAAGGTGAAACTGAAATTTTATTTAGCCAGTTCTTTCCAACAGTACATCACTAGTCTTAATGTTTGGAAAGATGAGCTTGGGAACGTGGGAAACACCAAAGCAGCCCCACTGTGGCGCGTGCCTGGACCTGCCTGTGCGCAGCCCTAGGGTGACGGCAGCTTTCTTACTCATTGGCTGCTTTTCTGCAGAGTGTCACTCCAGCACAGTGTGGGGCATCCCAGCAGACGCTGCAGGGGCTGCCTGGTGCCCGTGCTCTGCAGGGCCCTGGTTGGGAAGGAGGGAGAGAGAGAGCGGGAGTCCTTGGTAGTGTGTGAGACAGACAAGGACGAAAGTCCTCCTCCTCGGGTGTTACAGGGTTTGGACTGGCTTTCGATGAAAGTATGAAGAGCTGAGCTTTTACCAAACTATGCACGTTCAGCGTAGCTGCGAAGTGTCAACACCATATACTGCTGTAGTTGACAGCAGAGTGGCCTTTGAGAATATTAATTCTCACACTGATATGACATTGACTTCAAAAATGTGTGTTAGAATCCAAGAACCAGCAGACTTCCTGAAGTAGGGTAAGAATCATTGAACTGTATCAACAGATCACCCAGCGACCCCACTGGACTGCCTCGAGACAGCAATCCATGAGTTATTTGAAAGAATGAACAATTGTGATTTTAGCTTGTTTTTGTGATTCGGGTGAAAGTTTACGGAACAAATTTATTTTCCATACAACAGTTCATACGTGTTTTGTTTCATGACATTGACTGCAATTCCCCACAGTGTAACAGTTCTCTCCCCACTTCCTCCCTGTAGTTATCTCTTCTCTGTGTCCTTCTTTCTTATGCATTCTTGCCCCCTGAGCTTTCTCCTTTTGCAAATTCTGCCCTTCTGTTCTCCCACGATTGATTGTTATAAGGAGTGTATCTACCTGATGTATATGTTCACTCTGTATGTTTATCTGTTGTCTGGCTGGAAGCCACAGGAGTGAGTTCAATTCCAGACCTGAAGGGTAAATAGGGGCCATAGTCTCGGGGGTCTCATTAGCGCTATCAGACCAGTACACCTGGTCTTTTTATGATTTTGAGTTTCATTCCACATTTTTCTTCCACTCTATCCGGGATCTCCTGTACTGATCCCTTTCTGAGTGGTTGACAGTGGTAGCCAGGTACCATCCAGTTCTTCTGGTCTCACAGTCATACATTAGCCTGTATTTTTATCTATTTTAGAAGCTTGTGGGATTAACTAACCATCATCAGTAGTGATTTAGAAGCTTACTCCTGGGCAGGGGGCTTCTAGCTAACTTTGACTGTGGTGCTGGTCCCTCTCTCCTGGCAGGTAACTCCGTAGGTGACACAGTGGCCAGAGAGCAGCTCTGAATCCCTCCTACAACCTCCGTTCCCAGCAGGGTGGGCTGTTCTTGAGCAGTCAGCTCTTAGCTGAAAAGGAGGAGATTCTCCCGTAAAAAGCTGATCAGGAAGTTCTGACAGTTCTCTGCTGAGAGGCCAGGGATGCCATCCAGTGTGTATGGGGTCCTACAGCACCATCAGGATGAAGGGGCTAGAGGGGACCATCCCGAGGGGTTTGAACAGAGCTCTGCACACACAGTCGTGCCACCTTGAGAAAGGAGTGAAACCAAGAAGAAGAAGAAACAAAAGTTATGTCCTTTCTGGTCTTTGGTTTTGACTGTTTGCGCTGCTCGTGTGGCTCTTCTCTGAGTGGACCTACGCGGGGGGGGTTTCCCAGCGGAAAGTGTGTCACCGCCGCTCTCACCATGTGTCTCCCCAGGCCGCGATCCAGTCACAGCTGGATGGTGTGCGCACGGGCCTCGGCCAGCTGCACAGTGCGCTCACCGACGTGAAGGCCATCCAGCAGTCGCTGGCGGCCGTCAGCCAGGACTGGAGGCAGAGCATCAACACCATCGAGAGCCTTCGCGATGTGAAGGACGCCGTGGTGCGGCACAGCCAGCTCGCCGCCGCCGTGGAGAACCTCAAGAACATCTTCTCAGGTGCCAGCGCACCGTGGGCCTCCCATCTGGGCCTGCTGTCCCTCGACCCCTCCCTGCACGTGCAGGGTTCTCAGAGGAGAGCGGGCTCGCCCCGCCACATAGCCAGCTACCTCGCTGGCTGTTAGTGCAGTCAGTTGGGCAGCAAGGCCGAGAGAAGCCTCAGCTCAGCGTTCAGAGGCCAGAGCAGAACCAAGTCAAGGCTGCATGGGCAGGTTCCCTGGGCGCATTCTTGCTGCAGTCACAGTCTTGCTGCTGGGTAGGAGCAGCTGGCAGACCATGGTGCCCATAGATAACTGAGGAAGCAGCCCCACCCATTTCTGTGGCCCACACCCTGTGGCAGGGGCAGTGACTGCAGGGGGTTGCCAGGTGCAGATGTCCCCCATCATGGTGGGAGCTGCACCTACCTGGTGGCTGGGTGGGGACACTGTTGGAGCCATCGCTCACGGGGTGCATCACATGCAGAGAGTGTGGTCTCTCGTCCCTGGGCAAGGCTGTCCCCTAGATCTCTGGAGGCCGTCGCTTTCATCCTTGGCAGGTTTCCCACACCATGCTTATAACAGGGCTCCTCGTCTGGCTCCCATACAGGAAGCCCTGAGTGGGCTGCCTCCCCTGCATGGCTCCCTCAGACGCCCCTGCGTCTCGTCTGCTCTGCACTCTTGCTCCCACTGGCCACCCTGTCTCTGGTGGTGCTGGGACTCCAGCTTCCTCTCCTCCTCCTCCACGCTGGGCGGGTCTCACCACCACCTCTGTACTGGCGGGGTTACACGGCCTCCCTCGAAGCTCCTGTCAGCATGGAAGCCACAGTCTTCCTGCCCCCCTGTGGCCCCCAGCTGTGCTCTGGGACTCATGTCCCGTGCAGCCATGTGCTTAGTGAGCATTCACCCCAAGCACTGGCCCACAGGTGGGCCGGGTCCTTGCCTCACTTCGCCTGCAGGACCCCCAGATGCACCCCGGGCTGTGGATACCCAAAAGAGTCCTGCTAGGCTGGCTGCTTCCTGGGTACTTGCGTCTTTTCCTCTGTGACACCCACAGAGCTAGTCAGCTTCATTCCGTCTTAAACTTGTCTGTTGGCTCGTAGCCTCTCCAGTGTTGTAAAGCCAGAGAACAGGGGGGCCTTGCTGAGAGCAGCTAAGGCTGACCCCCTCCTCCGTCACCAGACGGGCCTGTGTCATGTTGCTGCTTCCTGCTGGGGTGGGTTTTTCCTGGCACTCTGGTGGGCTCAGCTCCCTCCAGACACGTGTAACTCCCTGTAGTTCTGTAGCATGCGTGCTCCTGGTTGGATGTGACATGCGTCCTTGTCCCCCCAGTGCCGGAGATCGTCAGGGAGACGGAGGACCTGACTGAGCAGGGGCAGCTGCTGCAGGCACACCGGAAGCTGATGGACCTGGAGTGCTCGCGGGACGGCCTGATGTACGAGCAGTACCGCATGGACAGCCGGAACACGCACGACATGACGCTCATCCAGGGTTACTTCGGCAGCATGCAGCGGCTCTCGGACGAGCTGGCCAAGCAGCTGTGGATGGTGCTGCAGCGGTCCCTGGTCACTGTCCGCCGCGACCCCACTCTGCTGGTCTCCGTCGTCCGCATCATCGAACGGGAGGAGAAAATTGACCGGCGCATGCTTGACCGCAGCAAGCAGACCGGCTTCATCCCCCCGGGGAGGCCCAAAAGGTGGAAGGAGAAGATGTTCACCATCCTGGACAGGACTGTGACCACAAGGATCGAGGGCACGCAGGCCGACACCAGGGAGTCGGACAAGATGTGGCTGGTCCGTCACCTGGAGATCATCCGCAAGTATGTTCTGGACGACCTCATCGTTGCCAAAAACCTGATGGTGCAGTGTTTCCCTCCCCACTATGACATCTTCCGAAACCTCCTGAGCATGTACCACCAGGCCCTGAGCACGCGGATGCAGGACCTGGCGTCGGAAGACCTGGAGGCAAATGAGATAGTGAGCCTCTTGACCTGGGTGCTGAACACCTACACAAGGTAGGGCCTGCTGTGTTTCACAGTCTCTGACGTCTGTGTGTGGAGACAGCTCTGAGTCTGTGTAGATCCTGTTCCTGGTGCTTGATTTGGGGCAGGGCTGAGCACTAGGGGTGGTTGTCTGGCCTGTGAGCATGTTCCTGTGACCTGTTCGTGGGAACTGTCCATGATCGTAGTGGGGTCTGAGTATAGCCAAGGTCTCCTGGAGTCTGTTGATGCCCGTCTGTGTGGAGTTTATCTGTCCATCTGTGGGAATTGCCCACTGTCACAGCAGGGTCTGGGCACGGCCAAGGACTCACGGGGTCAGACCCAGGGCCCAGTTTGCATGTATATAGTCCATCCATCTGTGGGAACTGCCTGTGGTCACAGTGGGGTCCAGGCGTGGCTGAGATCTCATGGGGTCAGACCCAGTGCCTAATGTGCGTGCATGTGGCCCATCTATCCATCTGTGGGCACTGCCCACATTTACAACAGGGTCAGTGTGTGGCTGAGGTCTCATGGAATCAGATCTGAGCCCATTGTGTGTGTATGTCATCCATCTGTGGGAACTGCCGAAGGTCACAGCGGGGTTTGGGCTCAGCCAAGGTCTCCTGGGGTTGGTTGACACCCCATGTGTGTGTAGCTTATCCATCCATCTCTGGGAGCTACCCACTGTCACAGCAGGGTCTGGGCACGGCCAGGGACTCATGGGGTCAGACTCAGTGCCCAGTATCGTGTATGTAGTCCGTCCATCCATCTGTGGAAACTGCCTGCAGTCACCCTGGGGTCTGGGAGTAGCTGAGGTCTCGTAGGGTGAGACCTGGCAGCCAGTGTGTGTGTGCGCCGTCCATCTGTCTGGGAACTGCCTGAGGTCCCAGTGGGTTCTGGGCACAGCTGAGGTCTTGGGGGTCAGATCCCACACCCAGTGTGCGTGTATGTCATCTGTCTGTGGGAACTGCATGCATTCACACTGGGGTCTGGGTATGGCTGAGGGCTCACGGGGTCGTCTGTCTGTGGGAACTGCCTGTGGTCACAGCAGGGTGTGGGTGCCGCTGAGGGCTCGTGGGGTCAGACCTGGTGTGTGTGCATGTAGTATGTCTGTCTGTGGGAACTGCCCGTGTCATGGTGGGGTCTGGACGTGGCTGAGGTCTCATGGCGTTAGATCCCGCCCCCAGCGTGCGTTCAGCACCATGGTGAGCGGTGTGGTGCAGGCCTGGTCCCTCTCAGTCGCTAGTTGTAGTAGGCTGTTGAGGTTAGCTCTGCCTTCCTTGCTGACCCGCAGTGACCTGTAGGGAGGTGCATCAGGACCCCCTTTATGGGTGCAGAGCCCAAGGCTCTGCCTGGGCCCCAGGGTTGGGAGAGGCCGCCAGCTCTGCTGCCCGCGCCCTGGAGCACTGTGCCACGGGGATGCCAAGTTGCAGAAGGTGCCCTGGTTCGTTCTGTGTATAGCGTGGGGCTGTGTCGGTCATGCAGGGGAACAGGGTCCACGATGTCACTGCTGGTTCGAGGTTTGAAGGATGAAGTGGCGGTGTGTTCTGGGCCTCCTTAGGAATGGCCAACAGAGGTGAAGGGTTTGGACTTCAAGTGGTTTGTGGGTGAATAACGGCATAAGGTGCTGTGCCGGCTCCTTTGTTGATTGCGTTACGATTGAAAGCGTGAGCTGTTCTTCTTGTTCTAGGAGTGGGGACGTTCCTTTGTGTGTGTTTTCTGCTTTTTGGTTTTTTCAAAATTTTTTATTTGTAATCTTTGCTTAATGTAGAGAATTTGGAAATTTTGATATGGGAAAATAAAGAGAAGAAGACTGTTGCACACTGATGGTGACTGTCGTGAGGGCAGACACCTTCCCTGTGTGCCCTGTGCTGGCCTGGATCTCAGGGCCCCAGCTGCTGTGGTCCTCCAGCCGGCTGTAGGCCATCACTGCCCGCCCACTCCACAGATGGAGACGTTGAGACACCGGGAGAGCAAGTCCACAGGGTGCTGTGGGGCTGGGGCCGGGGGGCCAGCCGGGCCAGCCCACTGTGCTCCCGCTCCCCACCCCCTGCCCACCGTGGGCGATAGGCTGCTGTGGGGTGGGGGTGCTCCTGTCCTCCCCATGAGCAATAGGCCAGCACTGAGTGGGTGATAGGCTTGGTGTGGAATGGGAGTGAAAGTGGGCCCAGCAAGGCTAGCCCACCCTACTCCCAGCCCTATGAGTGTTAGGCTGGTTCAAGACAGGGGTACTTCCACCCCCCTGTGGGCCATAGGCCAGGACATGATGAGGGCACCCCCACCATGAGTGATAGGCAGTGTGGGGCAGGGGTGAGAGCAGCCAGCCGCTCTGTGTGACCTGCCACGGGCATCTGTTTGGATCTGGATTTGTGTCTCTCTCGTGCATGGGAAGCTCTTTGCTGCGCTGTGTGGCCACGCGCCTCCCCTGTGCTGGCTTTTTGTGGGAGTGCTGCCCTGCCTGCCCTGCCTGGTGACCTGCAGATGCCCTGAGACGGAGCCACCTGCCTGTTGTTGAGGCTCCTGGGGAAGGTCCTCCTCGCCCCGTGGGGATGGCAGGACTTGCATGGTGTCCAGGGTCACTGGGCGTTGGCCTGGTGAAAGCAGCAGCCATTCCGTAAGGGTTTTTGTCTGTCCTTCGTAACTTGCCCGCCTCCTTTCTGGTTTTTGATGCAGTGCAGAGATGATGGGAAACTCAGAGCTGGCCCCAGAAGTGGACACTGACGCCCTGGGGCCCTTGCTGTCCCCGCACGTCATCTCCGAGCTGCTTGGCACGTACATGTCGACGCTCACGGTGAGTCTAGGCTGCTCATGCTGGCACACAGCTGGGAACTTGGGCCAGGTGTGCTGTGAGAAGGCTCCTTAGTGCTGGCTCCTGAGAGTGGGGGGGCGGCGTGTGCTTGGGTGCCCTGGCTGTTTCCAGGACTTGTGACCAGTTAGGTGAGGGGCAGCCCCTTGCTAGCCTGGCCTGAGAGTCTAGGGTGTATGTCAGCCTGTAGACGCAGAGACCCTGTAGGCTGGAAGAGACGTGTGGTGAGGAGCTGCGTTCCCCCACCCCCACCCCGCCCTCTGGGACCAAGGAGCAAGCCTGTTCTCCCCAGCAGGTGGCCAGGCCTGGGCGGCCCTGGATGGAGCCTGGCCAGGCTCTCACCTCTAGTTGTCTGGGTGATCCCACGGCCACCAGGCTCCCCGTGAAACAACAGGCAGGGCCTGCTCTATAGGGAAGGGTGTACCTGAGCCCCGAGACCGCAGAGTAAAATGCCAAGGCTGCCCCGGCACACAGGGACAGAACGTGTTTGTGCTGCCGTCGGGCCGTGGGGGACTGGCTGGCTGAGGCGGCCCATCATCAAGCAAGTGGCCTGGCCAGATGCTGCCCCGCTGTGCCCCCACCCCAGCGTGCGCCCATGACCTTGTGGTTGATCCCCCTCTTTATCTTCAGACTTGGGGTTCTCATCAAGCAGATTGGCTTTAGCGTCTGCAGTGGTGGGTGGGGCCCCGCTGCCCATCGAGGAAGTGTTGAGAGATGCGCCCATCCCTCTCTGGGGGACTCAAGGTTGGGTCCACCCCGTGCACCTTGCTCCACCGGGGGAAGCCATCTTTGCTAAAGACACCCGCTCTGTTCTTTTCTCTCTTGATGCTGTATTTGCCCCCGTAGTCAAACATCATTGCCTGGCTGCGGAAAGCACTGGAGACGGACCGGAAGGACTGGGTCAAGGAGACCGAGCCTGAGGCCGACCAGGACGGCTACTACCAGACCACGCTTCCCGCCATCGTCTTCCAGGTGCGGTGTCGGACTCCCGCCTCAGGTCCTCGGCTCATGGTGGGGCGTGCAGGGTTTACCAGCTGACACCTCGGGCTTCATTCTCGGAGGACAGTAAAGATCCGAGAACCTGGTGTCGTTTGAGCCCCCCATCTCTATCTGGAGATGAAGATGCTGAGGCTCTCGCTTGCCATTTTGTCCAAGGCCACTTAAGACCACTTTTCCCAGTCTTTCAGGGTTTCAGCTAGAACCTAGTTCTGTCATTTTGCCTATGACTTTCCAATCAAAGTTGCCTGGCTGGGTAACGCCTAATGTGGTAGATGGCTAAGGTCGTCTTCGGCCAGCCGCAGGGGGTCTGATCTGGGGAGCTCTAGGAGGTCCTTCAGCACTTGGTGGCGCTCAGATGGAGTAGCGTTTAGTGCACTTGGCTGCTAACCAAAACATTGGCAGTTTGAATCCACCAGCTGCTCCATGGGCGAAAGATGAGGCAATAAGCTTCCATAAAGGTTGACAGCCTTGGAAACCCCAAGGGGCAGTTCTCCTCTGTCCTCTGGGGGCTCTGTGAGTCAGACTCAACTTGATGGCAGTGGATTTGGTTGGGGCTTTGCTTCTGTGAAGACTGACAGCCTGGGAAACCCTGAGGGGCAGTTCTACTCTGTCCTCTAGGGGCGCTGTGGGTCAGAATGGACTCCACAGCAGTGGATTTGGGTTTTTTCTGCGCTTGGAATTAATTTCCTGACTGTTAGTCCTGGTGCTGGGTGAGACCGTCATTCACTCTTCATGGTTAATTGACTTCTGAACACCCTGCCTCCCTTGTGTCCAGTTTCCTTGTTCTCTCTCTTTCTGGTTCATCGCATTTTTTAAATGATTAAAGGTAGGAACTGCCTTGTGTTAGGACGCGTCCTTCAGACTCTCACCTGAATGAGCGTTTGGGCTGCAGCCCGGCAGGTGAGCTCTGCGTGACACTGTGAAGACTGACAGGGTGGGCCTCGACCTGGCTTTTGGTTGGGAAGTCTGCTTTCTCCTGTGAGGTTCTGCCTCTGGTGACCGGAGCCAAACCATGCCCTCCCCGTCTCCTCTGTCAGGGTCGGGCCCTGGCTCAGCCTGCCATTCTCGTTCACAAGAAGGGGGTCCACATTACAAGGGACTTGACCACCAGTGAACTTGAGCTACTTTCAGGAACAGGCTGGGAGGGCAGGATGCCTGAGTTGGAGCCTGGCCTCTGGCCCCAGCAGGTGACTCTGTCAGCAGGCTTCTCTGGGCCTCCACACACCTTCCTGCTGGCCTCAGGGCACTGTGCTCCACCAGGTGTGAAAGTACGACCTAGCCCCTTCGCAAAGACCTCCAGTGTGTGTCGGTAGTAAATGAGTCACTTGGTTCTAACCTGGTGGGAAAGTGGTTTGGTTTGGTTTGTGGCTAACTTTGTTATTTTTCAGGTGTTTTTCTTGTTCTCTGCCCTTGGACTCTCCTGCCTGCTACTTCATAGATGGGGTTTTATATTCTGGGGGGCCTGCACTCAGTGCACCTTGGGAGTTTATATCAGAACTCATAAGTTCTCCAATTTTCAGATGTTTGAACAGAACCTCCAAGTGGCTGCTCAGATAAGTGAAGATTTGAAAATAAAGGTACTGGTTTTGTGTCTTCAGCAGATGAGCTCTTTCTTAAACAGGTGGGTGTTTTTGCCAATGTATGATTTTAGAAATTCTGTTTTTCAAAAACAAAAACAAAAAGTTGTTGCTGCTAGTGTGCCTATTTTAACCTAACCCTGGGGCTCCTGTTCCACGCGTTCTTTAGTTCATCAGAAACCTCACCGCCTGGACGTATGGTTTCCTAGTGCCATTTTAACAGAAATACCACAAATGGGATGTTTGACAAACAGTTTATTCTCACAGTTTTGGAGGCTAGAACAAACAGGAGTTTTTTCTCATAGTTTTGGAGGCTTGATGTCCAAGTTCAAATGTGCCAGGCTCTAGGGGCTGGGTGAAAGCTCTTCACCTTGGGCTTCAGCTCTTCCTCCTGCTCCTGGCCCACTGAAGCTGGAGGCTTTTTTTCACTCAGACAGCTGCTGGCTGCTGAGGCTGACAAGCCCAAGGCTGATAAGTAAAAAGGCATAGTCCCAATGTTACCAAACTACATGGTGGGCCACTAATTCAAGTCTAGATAGATAAAGTCCCAAGATTAGCAGGGCACGGCAGGCTGTTGAACACCGACTTGGCTCCATGCATTATACCACACCGTCCCTTTGAGGCCCTGGCTTTGAGCTGCCTGGGGGTCACGGGCAGTGGGATTGGTCTGTGGGGGCTTCTCCTCTGGACAAAGACCTTTTTTGTGCTCAGCACTCCCTTGGGTGGGTCTACCCTTTTGAACCAAATGTTATGAATTAGTTTGCTTTTTGGGGACCTTAGTAATCAAGCTGGTGACCCCTTCTCAAGAGTCTGTTCCAGAGAAGGCCGTGTGTCCATCATTGGTGCTTAATCAGGAAGTGGATTCTAGCGGTGTGGATAAGTGTGACCGGTGGCGTCCACGTGGCGTCCTCAGTGCTGCCCCTTGCTCACCGTCTGAGGGGCTTGTTTCCCAGATACAAGGAGGAGGCGCAGCTGTACAAGGAGGAGCACTTGCGGGACCGGCAGCACCCCCACTGCTATGTGCAGTACATGGTGGCCATCGTCAACAACTGCCAGACCTTCAAGTGAGTGGCTGCGGCGGGGAGCAGGGGGTGGGGGACAGAAGGAGGGGCTCTGAGAGTCCCGACGTCTCTCAATTCATCGCCGCTCTTTCATTCCAGAGAATCCATAGTCAGCTTAAAAAAGAAGTATTTGAAAAGTGACACGGAAGAGGGCATGTCCATGTGCCAGCCCAGCATGGACGCAGTCTTGGACACCATTGCTAAGGAAGGCTGCAGCAGCCTGCTGGAGGAGGTCTTCCTAGACCTGGAGGTGGGCTGCCTGTGCCGGAGGAGGGAGTCTGGCTGGGAGGAGGGCCGCCTGGGTGGAAGGAAGAGGCCTGGGCCACGCTCTCAGTTTCTGGGCTCAGCAGTTCCCAGGTCTTACCTGTACCCCTGGGATGCGCACAGCTAACTGTGAGTCTGTGGACCGTCTGGTTAGCCGTGCCACATGCTCGCAGAGATAACGGCTGTCTGCTTAGCTACGTGTGTTCTGTCAGTGCCGTTCTGACGTGGTACACTGTGCGTGACGCAGGCCCGGGTTTGGGGCACCTCGTGCAGGACTGGATAGGTCCCGGCAGCAGTGACAGCATCTGAGTGCTCAGCGGATTGCAGAACGGAAGACACGTGTGGAGAGAGAGTGGTCACTAATGGGCACAATCCTGATACCAAAACCCCATTGAGAGCCCAGGCACGAGTGTGCACACCCGAACAAAAGTCATTAAAAAACAAAGCTAGCATTAGGTCACAGGCATGACCCACTGTGAGTCAGAGCAAAAACGGTCTGCCGTGGAGTCGGTTCTGACGCACGGCAGTCCGGTGTGCCTGAGTAGAACTTGTCCGTGGGGTTTTCACACTGTGGCCTTTCAGATGCGGATTGTCGAGCCTTTGTCCTGAGGCCCCTCTGCGTGGCTTCAGACCTTCAACCTTGTGGTTAGTGGCCCCGTGCTTCACCATTGGAGCCAGGAGAGACTCCACTATAGACACATGCAGCTGTTTCAGAAAACGTGAGGACAGTTCACTATTGCCTAAAGGTCTCAGCAGGCTGCAGAACACAGTAAAACAAACCTGTGGTGAAACTCGGAGCCACTCCTGATAAATGTTCTTGATAGCCTGTGACTGAAGACCTCCTCACGTGATGCTTGTGTCCGGAACTGTAGCACACCTCGCAAAGGGGGCTCCCGCTAGAGACGGGAGCAAAGCAGAGGCCTGCTGTCACCACATGGGTCAACACACAGGCGACCTGGTGCCTTACCTTGCACAAGACTCACTGGAAATCGAGGCGAGGAAGAGAAAAGTGTGCGGCCATGTGGTGGTACATGTTTTGAATGTGTGCTGTCAAGTGGAGAAGCATTGGAATGAATAAAATGTGGAACAGAGATGAGATAAATGTAAAAACGTAAGAACCACTTTGTTTCCTGGGTGTCACCACTTGAACGTGTGGCAGGAAAGACCCCATTCACATCGGTATCAAAATTGCTGTCCACCCAGGAACAGACTGGAGTCTTTGGAGCCTGTGCATGTGAGGCGAGGTCTCGGGAGAAAGGGAGGACGCAGAGCTGAGAATTCACAGGCTCTACTGTTTTGGGAGCTCTGGTAGCATAGTGGCTAAGATACTTGCCTGCTAACCAGACGGCTGGCAGTTCAAACCCACCAGCCACTCCTCGGAAGGAAGGTTGGGCAATCCTACTTCCGTAGTGATACCGCCTCAGAAACCCAAGGAGGGGTCGCTATGAGTTGGGTTTGACTCGACGGCACATAACAACAACAACAACAACTGTTCTGCCCAGGTCGTTCAGGCACTGGGTCTGATTCTGCTCCTTTGCCCAGAAGTCTTTGGTGGAGTCAGCAGGTGCCATCGAGTCGGTTCCAACTCAGCAGCCCCATGTACAACAGAACGTGGCCCAGCCTGGTCCTGGGCGAGCCTCGTGATCTTCGTGTACTTGAGCCCATTGCTGGCAGCCACTGTCAGTCTGTGTCCTTGAGGGTCTTCCCCTTGTTTGTTGACCCTCCACTTTATCAAGCATGGTAACCTTCTCCAGGGAATGGTCTCTTCTGACAACAAGACCAAAGTATAGGAGATGCTGCCTCCTCATCCTTGCTTCTTAAGGAGCATTCTGCCTTTACTTCTTCCAGGACAGATCTGTTCATGCTTCTGGCAGGCCGGGGCACTTTCAGTATTCTTTGCCAACACCGTAAGTCAAAGGCATCAGTTCTTTGGTCTTCCTTATTCACTGTCCAGCTCTCACATGCATAAGAAGCGATTGAAAACACCAGGGCTTGGGTCAGGTGCACCTTAGTCTTCGCAGTGACATCTTTGCTCCTTAGCACTTGTAAGAGTTCTTTGGCAGCAGATTTGCCCAGTGCAGTATATCTGAGTTCTTGACCACTGGGTGTTGATTGTGAATCCAAGTACAATGAAATCCCCGACAACTTCAGTCATTTGTTCATTTATCGTGATACTGCTTATTGGTCCAGTTGTGAGGATTTTTCTTTTCTTTATGTTGAGACGTAACTCATACTGAAGACTGTAGTCTTTGATCTTTATCAGTAAGTGCTTCAAGTCTTCTTCACTTTCAGTAAGCAAAGTTGTGTTGTCTGCATATCGTAGGTTGTTAGTCTTCCTCCAATCCTGATGCCACGTTCTTCATATAGTCCAGCTTCTCAGATTATTTGCTCAGCATACAGATTGAGTAAGTATGGTGAAAGGATGCAACCCTGGTGCACACCTTTCCTGATTTTAAACCATGCAGTGTCCCCTTGTTCTGCTCAAATGACTTTTCTTAGTATATGTCTAGGTTCCTCATGAGCACAATTAAGTGTTCTGGAATTCCCATTCTTCATGATCCACACAGTCAGATGTCTTCGCATAGTCAGTAAGACACAGGTAAGTATCTTTCTGGTATTCTCTTACTATAGCCAAGATCTGTCTGACATCAGCAATGATATCCCTTGTACCATGTCCTCTTCTGAATCAGGCTTGAATTTTTGGTGGTTTCCTGTTGATGTATGGTTGTAACTGTTTTTAAATTATCTTCAGCAAAACTTTACTTGTGTGTGATGTTAATGTTGTTTGATAATTTCTACATCAGATCACCTTCCTTTGGAATGGACACAAATAAGGCTCTCTTCTGACCAGATAACTTTCTTCTGGCATAGATGAGTAAGAACTTCTAGTGTGGCATCCGTTTGTTGGAACATCTCAAGAGTATTCCATCAATTACTACAGCCTTGTTTTTCGCCAATTCCTTCAGTGCAGCTTGGACATCTTCCTTACCTCCTGAAATGTCTGAACAGCAACCAGGTTTTTTTTTGAACAGTGACTCTGTGTATTGCTTCCCTCTTTTTTTTATTTTTTTTAATGCTTTCTGTGTCATTCAGTCTTTTGACCACAGAATCCTTCAGTATTGCAGCTCAAGGCTTGAATTATGTCTTCGGTTGTTTTAGCTTGAGAAATGCCAAGCGTGTTCTTTCAGTTTTGGTTTGTAACTCCAGGCATTTTCAAATTTCATTAGAATACTGTACTTTGTCTTTTTGAAGCACCCTTTGAAATCTTCTACTCAGCACTTTTACCTCATCATCTCTTTCTTTCACATAACTACTCTCTGTTCAAAAGCAAGTTTCAGAGTCTCTTCTGACATCCATGTTGGTCTTTTCTTCCTTTCCTGTCGTTCTAATGACCTCTTGCTCTTTACATGTATGATCTTGATGTCATCCCCTAACTCATCTGGTCTTCAGTCATTAGTGTTCAGTGCTTCAGATTATTCTTCACATGGTCTCTACATTCAGGTAGCATGTATTCAAGATCGTCCTTTGGCTCTCGTGCCTTAGGTTTCACCTTGTGAGAAACTCATGGTCTATTCCGCAGGCAGCTTCTGGCCTTGTTCTGACTGATGATCTTGAACTTCTCCATTGTCTCTTTCCACAGATGTAGTCAGTCTGATTCCTGTGTATTTAATCTGGCGAGGTTTATGTGTATAGTTGCTGTTTATGTTGTTGACAAAAGGTATTTGCAACAAATAAGTCGTTGGTCTTGCCAAATTCTGTCCTGCGATCTCTGGCGTAGTTTCTGTCACCAAGGCTGGATTTTCCAACTGCTGATTCTACTTACTTGTTTCTGACTTCTGTATTCCAGTCACTAGTAATTATCAATACTTCTTGATTGCATGTTTGGTCCGTTTCAGACTGCAAAGTTGGTAGAAATCTGTAATTCCTTTATTTTTGGCTTTAGTGGTTGGTGTGTAAATTTGAATAATAGTCGTATTAACTGGGATTCCTATTACAGACTGCATTGTACTTCAGGATGTTGTTGTTGTTGTTGTTGTTTTGTGCCGTCGAGTCAAACCCGACTCATAGCGACCCCTCCTTGGGTTTCTGAGGCAGTATCACTACGGAAGTAGGATTGCCCAACCTTCCTTCCGAGGAGTGGCTGGTGGGTTTAGACCGCCAGCCGTCTGGTTAGCAGGCAAGTGTCTTAGCCACTATGCTACCAGAGCTCCCAGTACTTCAGGATAGATCTTTAAATGTTCTTTTTGACAATGAGTATGACGCCATTCCTCCTGAATGTGTCAGTCCCCATAGTAGACCCTATGGTTTTCTGATTCAAAATGATTAATAGTAGGCCATTTCAGCTCGCCAGTCGATGTTTATGCATTTTTAACAACTTCCAGTTTTCCTACTTTCATACTTTGTATGTTCTACAGTCTGATTATTAATGGATGTTTGCAGCTGTTTCGTCTTATTTTGAGTTATGCCCCATCAGCAGATGAAGGTCCCGAGAGCGTTACTCCACCCGCATCGTTAAGGTTGAGTGTCCTTTGAAGAGGTGGCTTTTCCGTACTCGTATTTTGTGAGTGCCTTCCAGCCTGAGGGCTCATCTTGCAGCACTGTGTTGGATGACCTTTCACTGGTGTTCCTGAAGCTCTCCGGTAATACATCACAGTGTCCCCTGCTCCTCAGAAGGCTTTTGGGACCCGTTATTCCAGAAGGAGATCGGCAGGTCCTCCGACCGAGTCGGTCGTAGTCTGGAAGCTCTGCTGAAACCTGCCCACCATGGGTGACCCTGCAGGTGGTTTAAATACTAGTGGCATAGCCTCCAGCATCGTAGCAACTTGCATTGTGACAGTGCGACAGACTGACATCTTTGGGGGGAAAGCCTCACAGTTTTGTGAAGGTCATCTGAAGACAAAATACATAAAAAAGGGTGAGAATTTTTTTTTTTTAATTTTTAATTCTGATTTAGGTGAAAGCTAACAAAATTCAATTTCCATACAGCAATTCATACACATTTTGTTTCATGACATTGACTGCAATCCTCAAAGTGTAACAGCTCTCTTCCCATTTCCTCCCTGTAGTTGCCTTTTTCTTGTGTCCTTCCCTCCCATCCATTCCTGCCCCCTGAGCTGTCTCCGTATGCAAACACTGCCCTTTGGTTCTCCCATGATTGATCGCTCTGAAGAATGTATCTACTTGGTGTAAATGTTCACCTCACAGGCCTGTTTGGCTGGAAGCCATGGGGGTGATTCCAGGCCTGAAGGTACCTAGGGGCCATGGTTTTGGGGGTTTCACCAGTTTCTGTCAGACCTGTTTTTTTTTTTATGATTTTGAGTTTTGTTCCACATTGTTCTTTCACTCTATCCAGAATCTCCAGTACTGATCCCTCTCTGAGTGGTTGGGCACCATCTAGTTCTGGTCTCATGGTCATAGAGGCTGAGGATCACATGGTCTACTGGTCCCTTGGACTAATTGTTTCCACACCTCTTTGGTTTTCTTCATTCTTCTTTGCTCTGGATTGGGAGAGACCCATTGTTGCATTTAGATGGCTGCTTGCAAGCTTTTAAGACCCCAGTCACTACTCACCAAAGTAGGATGTAGAACAATGTTTTTGTGTAGTGTGTTTTGCCAGTTGAGCTGGATGTCCCCTGCAACAATGGTGCCAGACCCACAGGTCCAACAGCTTGTTCCGTCAGGGTGGTTGATTGTGGCTAGAAAGTTATCATAATTTTGCTCCCTATAAATTCTAGTTATGTGGATATTCTTACAGCACATATAAATACATATGTAGAAATACTATCTGCCAGTCATAGAAAAACCAGACCAAAACCAAACTCAGTGCCATCAAGTTTGTTCCGACTCATTGCGACCCCCGTTGGGTTTCCAAGGCAGTAAATCTTTATGGAAGTAGGTTGCTCTGTCTTCCTTGTGCAGAGTGGTTTATGGGTTTGAGCCACCAACCTTCTGGTTAACAGAAGGTCCCTTAGGCACTGGGCAACCAGAGCTTCTTAATCTTAGAAAAAGGGGTGAGATACTTTTGAGGAAGGATAATCAAGGCTGTACATTCAGGGAGGGTACAAGATGCTTGTTCTACTGTGTATGAAAACGTCATGTAATCTGTGGTGGGTGAGATGCCCTGTGGTACTGGGTCCACAGGACTGAGCAGAGGTCAGAAGCAGACTCTCTTACCTGGTGAGATTTTGCAGACTATGAAGATGGTGCATTCAAGTTAGTGGTTAGGGTTGTGGCAAATGGGGCCCAGTGGTTAGCTCACCATCTGGGGAGAAGGGAAGTTCTAGGCTGAGTTCCTGTTGTGCACAAAAGTAAACCTGAGACAGTAGGAAGCTTTCAATGCAAAGAGTGACACAACAAAACGCTCGGAGGAAACAGAACGATCTTTCGTAGTCTTGGTATCATGTGATGGCAAGGGGTTCCAGCTCATAGTGACCCTGTGGGAGCGCAGAACTACGCCCTACAGTTTCTGAGGCTGCACTTTCAGAGGAGCAGATCACAAGGTCTCTTCTGTGAAGCCGCTGACCTTCTGGTTCACAGCCTGGCGTTTGGCCATTGTGCCCCCAGTGCCCCTCGATCTCAGTAGTGTTGTTAGGTGCTGTCAAGTTGGTTTTGACGCAGCGACCCCGTGGTCAACAGAATGAAACAGTGCCCGGTCCTACGCCATCCTCACAGTCCTTGCTATCCTTGAGCCCATCACCACAGCCACTGTGTCCATCCATCTCATTGGGGGGCTTCCCTTTTTTCACTGACCCTCTGCCTAGCATGATCCTTCTCCAGGGACTGGTCCCTTCCAACAACATGACCAAAGTATGAAAGACAAAGTCTGGCCAAAGGAGCATGATACTTCCTCTGAGGCAGATTAGTCTGTTCTTCTGACAGTCTGTGATACGTTCAGTATTCTTCGCCAGCACCACAGTTCAGAGGCATCAGCTCGTCTGTGGTCTTCCTTGTTCATTGTCCAGCTCTCATAGGCACGTGAGGTGATTGAAGAGACCATGGCTTGAGTCAGGCGCCCCTTGGTCTTCACGGTGCCATCTTTGCTCTTCACTTTGAAGGAGTCGTTGCAGCAGATTCCACCAGGTGGTGCATCATTCGGAAAGGCTTTTTTTCTCTTAGGGTGGCACTAACCAGAAACTGTCCAAGGAAAGACTGACAGAAAACGTTGTTGTTGTTGTGTGTAGGTTTAGCCACCTATCTTTAATAAAATTGAAGGACACTGTCCAAATCGGGAGGAAACCTTGCCAATGTCTGATAGGTAGTGGATTGGTGTTCCCTGGCCCTTGCAGAGCAGGCAGTGAGAAGTCAGGGCCGCGATGGGGTAGAAGGAAGTGAGGGCTCCCGCGGACACAGTGCCCCTCAACAGGTCTTACCCACACACGGCCCCTCTCCCTACAGGAGCACCAGGCCCACCAAAGTGTAGGCCTTCTACAAAGTGACTCGCCTACATCCGCAGAAGCACTGGGTCGCAGGGTGAGGGCAGGCTGGGGAAACTTCCAGACGGGGGAACTACCCAGGTCCCGGCTGAGCCCTGCTGGGGAGGGGCCCCTGGGAGGAGGCTCCTGGACGGCTGCTGGCGTGTGAACTGGCCTGAGCTGTGGCAGTGCTGCCTCGTGGCCTGATTGGTCTTTGCTCTGTGGCCCTTGGTCTTGGTGGTCAAGAAGCAGAACAGCAGCAGTGTCTCTAACATGTTGTTGTTGTTTGCCGTCGAGTCAGAGCTGACTCACAGCGACCCCTCCTTGGGTTTCCGAGGCAGTATCGCTACGGAAGTAGACTGCCCAACCTTCCTTCCGAGGAGTGGCTGCTGGGTTTGAACCATCAGCCTTCTGGTTAGCAGTCAGGTGCCTTAGGCACTATGCTACCAGAGCTCTAACAAGTTTCAGGAGCACTGAAATGTACAGAAGACAACAAGGTAGAAAAATAGACCAGAACAAGGGAGGCCAGCGTGCTCTGCATGAAACAGCCCCCAGTGTCGGCACCTCACCGAGATGCTGGTGAGGACGCCAGGCCACCGTGTCGAGTGTGCCACAGAGACCAGCTCGGCCTCCACCCAGTGCTGTCGAGAGCGTGAGAAACGGCCTGCTTTCCGGTGTCTGTGGTGGCCCCAGGATTGGAACGGTTTTGGGGGGCAGTTTGGAAATAGGTGCCCATCACTTTCAGTCTGATACGCTTCCTTTTGACTGAGCAATTTCACCTCAGAAATAGACCTCTCTGCAGCCCTATCTGTGACTTTATTTATAATCACAAACCTGGAAACCTGTTGAAAGTCCACCAGTAGAGATGGACTAAGTTAGAGCATGTCCGTAGATTGAACACATGTAGCTAGTAAGATACGTACACGGACACTCACGTGCCTGACAGTGGGTAACGAAGCAAGTGACAACACCATGGGCAGTGTGTGTCTCTGGTTCAGAAGAGCTTGGGGGAGGCCCGTCTGAGCTCCTGGAGCGTCCCACACGTGTGCTGCTGTTACAGAGTCCCACGTGCGGTGTGTCTCCGGAACGTCCCACACGTGTGCTGCTGTTACAGAGTCCCACGTGCAGTGTGTCTCCGGAACGTCCCACACGTGTGCTGCTGTTACAGAGTCCCACGTGCAGTGTGTCTCCGGTCTCGATTCTTTCATGTTCTCGTGACATGTTTACCTGGTTGCACTTCACTGTTTGAACTCACCAGCTGATAAGGACAGACGGGGAACTTAGGGCTTGTCGGTTTTCTTAGAGAGTTTTTTGCTCTCATTCTGCAGCCACATCTCAATGAGCTGATGACCAAGAAGTGGCTGTCGGGGTCGAACGCCGTGGACATCATCTGTGTCACCGTGGAAGACTATTTCAACGACTTTGCCAAGATTAAAAAGCCATATAAAAAGGTGAGTTCGCAGGGTCACACCCACGTGAGGTCAGCCGTCCCGCTGCAGCCCTTCGGGTTTGGGCAGTGTTCAGTTAAATCCCTGATTTGGGGAGTAAGGTTTGCCAGTTTGCTCTCCCAGGGAGCGAAGACATGTGGGAAGTAAAAAGCCATGTGTGTGTCGGGGGTCTTGTGAGTGAGGATGGCGGGTGGGGTAGTCTGTAACTTCACCTCCTAAGTCCCGTGGCAGCTGACCAAGGTCACTAAGAGGTGCAGACCCCCGGACGGCGGACGGTCAGGACCCTTTATGGCCTGTGGGAGGGTGAGGGCCTCAGAGCAGGTGAGGGGACTGGGGGTGGGGGGTGGGGCCACAGTGCAGGGGAGGGGTGAGACGAATGGGATGGTTCAGGTGAGGGGAGTAGACGTGAGGGGTGAGGTCACAGAGACAGCTGTTGGATGACAACTGCGTTTCTCCATGAGAGACCGGCCTTTGCCAGGCCCAGGCTCTGTGGTCTGCAGCCAGCCCAGGTCTAGGTACCACTGGGAAGCACTCTCCGGCAGCCTGAACTGGCCAGAGTGCCATCCACCGTGGTCACGGGCTGGGTACAGTCTGCCTCACGGTCAGGGCCCAGGCATTGTTTGGTTTCTTGGTGTGGGGTCCCCTTGAGTTCATCCAAGGCCACATCACACCTGTAAAGGGCCTGTGGCCCCCAGTTGGTTTTCCTCCCTTGCTAGTGTTTGGTTTACAGGTAGTGAATAAACAAGGCAATGACTGTTCAAGATGCAGTTTTTGTCAAGAAAACGGATGGTCAGCTTGGGTCCTGTGTGTGACCTGCTTTTCTTTTCTGACATGTGGCAGCGGAAGGCAGGGGCAGCTTTGTGTGAACCAGCGGTGGCCATGCGAGGCCTCGGGACCAGCTTTGTCAGCCAGGCACCAGCCCTGCTCCCACTGATGAGGGGGTTCTCGCTTGTGTGCAGCCTGTGCAGGATTTCGGGACACTCCTCTCCTGCCCGTGTCGAGGTGGCCACCTGTTCTGCTTACCTGGTGCCTCTCTGACAGGACTATACCAAAAATGGGACGGCCTTAACAAACAGGAGTTTATTCTCTTACAGTGTAGGAGGGTAGAAGTCCGAGTTCACAGTGCTAGGCTCTAGGGGCTGGGTGAGAGAGAACCCCTCGACCTTGGGCTTCAGCTCTGCCTCCTGCTCCCGGCCCACTGGAGCTAGAGGCGTTTCTTCACTCAGACAGCTGCTGGCTGCTGAGGTTGCCAAGCCCAAGGTCGACAAATAAAATGGCACAGTCCCGACGTTACCAAACCACACGGCAGGCCATTAATTCAAGTCCATTGAAAGTCCCAAGGTCGGCAGAGCGTAGCAGGGTGCTGAACAAGAACTCAGCACATGCAGGGTTCAGGTGTGCCAAAAGCTAGAGGCTATTTTCAAAGCTACTGTTTATAGACAGGAAGCAGACCACATCCCTAAGGCAGCTACTCAGCTGCTTGTGGTAGATCCCACCATGGAGTTGATGACTAGTCTCATCGCAGGGAGTAACTACCACCAGCTGCCCAGCCATTCAACCAGGCCCAGCCAAGGTGACATACAACCTTGACTGCCACACCACGTCTTTCCTCATTAATCGTTTCGCAGTGAGACACGTGTCATGGTGGTCTGTCGTTACGTCGTCAGAAGATGCGTCTGGATGGTCTGTCATGTCATTGGGAGATGTGCGTCTGGGTGGTCCGTTGTCATGTCATCAGGAGACGCGCGTCTGGATGGTCTGTCACGTCATTGGGAGACGTGCGTCTGGGTGGTCCGTTGTCACATTGCTGGGAGACAATGCGTCTGGGTGGTCTGTCGTTAAATTGTCCTTTTATCCCGAGCATGCATTCAGCTCGTCGGCTGCTGTGGAGTTGGCCCGACCCACAGCAACCCCTACACCACAGACAAGGCGCCGCGTGGGCTGCGTCTGACCTTTGTGACCTGTGTGGTTTCCGCTGGCCGTTCTCCACAGTGGATCCCAGGTCTTGTTTGTCCGTCTGTCTGAGTTCGGAAGCTCTGCGGGAACCTGCGAGCAGCACAGCGACGCACAGGCCTCTGCCGACGGGTGGTGGCTGCGTGGACCGCGCTGCCAGGGACTCGAGCCTGGGTCTTGGTGGTGGGAACTTGGCCTGAGCCAGCGCTGCCCCGGGTGCCCGCCCGTCGTCGCCGCCTGTGGCTGGTTTGGGCTCTGCGAGGCCTGCGAGGCTGGTGCGTCCTTCAGTGTTTCCCATGTATGCGCACGGCCGCAGGTGCCTGTAGACTCCTTCACTGGGTCCCTTGCTGCCTTGGGACCTGATGGAGTTAGGGTGGGAGGACCCAGTTCTCTGCCATCTGAGTCTGTACAGGGCTGCTCTGATCCATGCGTTGACTCCCCGTAGGGTCAGCTGGGTGCAGCCCATTTGTGTGGGAGGACCTTTTCTTGTTGACTCCGTTTATTGAAGCGTTACGGGACTCCCCAAGCTCCCTCTTTCCTTTCGAGTTGCTTTTGGTTTAAAAGGCATTTTCCTGGGCCTTTGTGGGGTTAACTCTTCACCCATGGGTTGTGTCTGTGGTTGGCTCCTGTCATTTCCCACACACTGGCTGTGTCAGTTGTTGGCTCCTGTCACCCTCACTGTTGTTGATGTACCCCCTCTCTTCCCTCTATCAGTTTCTCAGAGGTATGTGTCGCACTGGTCCCTCCAAGAGTCCTCTCAGGGGTCATTAGTCTCCTCTGTTACGTATCTAAGGAGGTCTGGTGGCATAGTGCCTAAGGCATTTGACTGCTAACCAGAAGGCTGGCGGAGAGATTTACTGCCTCAGATACCCAAAGGGTGTTGCTGTGAATTAGAGTTGACTTGATGGCAGTGGGTTTTTTATTTTTTTGGTTATATGTTTGGTGTCTTTTTTATTTTTTCCTTGATTTTTTTAATAAGAAAAAAAAAGTACTTTAATCCTAAAAGTGGAATACAGTGACCTAGTACAAAGTGAACACCTAGTAACTAAAACCCCAGCAAGGAAGTATCACTGGCCGGCACCCCAGAAGCGTGCCCAGGAGTGTCTGCTGGGCCCACACCCCGGGAACGTCCCCAGGAGTGTCATGTGGCCAGCACTCAGCACCGCAGGGGTTGCTGTCCCTCCCGACACGGTTTCTTCCTCCCCAGGACAAAGTTGCGACCCTGCGTGGCTGGCATGCCCTTGCCCTCCTTGTCCTGTGCACCTGTGTCTGTGTCCTCCCAGCGCAGCCCCGATTGCCTCCTGTTGTACTGTCTGCAAATGGGATAACTGCACCGCCTGCCCCGCCCTTCCCGGTGCAGCGTGTTCGCTGCCGTGTGGTGCCCCAGTGGGCTGTGGCTGGGGTTCTGCTGCGACCCTGCTTGTGCACATGCAGGTCTGCGGTCTCTGGCCTCTGGGCATCACGGTGGCCCCACAGGGGGCCGAGTGCTGCTGTCTCCGGATGACCCAGCTCCCCTCTGAGGCCTGCCCAGTTCACAGCCCACCTGCCCGAGCCCCGTGCCGGCATTGCACCGCCAGGGCCACTGGGGACCCAAGCAAGTGTTCTCTGCATTTCCCCTCGTTCCTGGAGGGGGGTTGGCCAGCTGTTTGGCTTCCTGTCTTTCCATCTTGCACTAGGCCATTCTGTTTCCCGTGTTTGGACGTGTGTGTCTGTGCTTGTCCGCTCTGGACAGTTCCACCTCACGCACCTGTTGAGTTGTGATGTTGCACCCAGCAATGCGTTGTTATGGTTAGGGCTTTTTTGTGTCTCAGGAAATCTCTCCTTACCCAGGGTCCTGAAGGTGCGTTACAAGGTGCCCCTGTGACCTAGCCTGAAATGCAGTTCTCTGCCATGATCAGCCTCACTCTCTTCCTCAGTGTGCCCCTGTCTGGTGGCTTTCTGTCGCTTCCCTGCAGTCTGGGTCTGGATCGCTCACGGCTTGTCCCATCAGCGTCCATTCTGGCCTCAGGTCGTGAAAGCCTTCTCCAACCACCCAGACTGACCACTTCCCTCCGGCTCCCAGTGGAGGGGTCAGGCCACTGTTGGCGGCGTTTCTAATAGCGCTGGCCGGTATCTGAGGTCACTGTGCCGTTTTACGTTTAAATACATGCTCCATGAGAGGCGGGCCTTGTCATTCACTCAGCAATTCCATCTTTCTTTCTAAAAATTCCAGTGTTTTGTTTTTCAGATTTCCCGATTGACTGCAAGTCTCTTGTCACAGGCACTTTTTTGTGGTTCTGACTTTGACCTCCTTGAATGTGACACCATCCTGAAGTCCTCTGTCCGGGCTGGGCTGACCCGTGTCTTGGCCAGCACCCAATCCTGGTGGCTCCTCTCTTGTACATGTGTCCTCTCTGAGTCTCATTTGGGTGATGTGAACCTCGAGGACTCTGGGGCTGAAAATTTGAGTGCGTTCCTGAGAAGGCATTCACACTGTTCCCCCGGAGCCTGGCACTGGCAGGTCCTGGGTGCATCTTAGCCTCCTGGTCTGGCCTCCTGCCTTCTGCATTGGTTAGAGCTGTCCACGCAGCCTTGCCGTGGGCCGTGGGGGACGGCCAGGCTGATGTCACGGCCCCTGGGCTCTGGGCAGGGCCGCGCCCACTGATGTTTAATGCCCTGCAGCGCGTGGCCGCCGAGGCGCACCGGCGGGTGGTGGTGGAGTACCTGCGGGCCATCATGCAGAAGCGGATCTCCTTCCGGAGCGCCGAGGAGCGCAAGGAGGGCGCTGAGCGCATGCTCAGGGAGGCCGAGCAGCTCCGCTTCCTGTTCCGGAAGCTGGCGGCGGTGAGTGCGGGGGGCGGGGGGTGTGTGTGTGTGTGTGTGCTGTGCGGCCCGTGTGCCAGTGTCCGGCCTGGGACCCCCGCCCCACTGCAGCCCCAGTGGGGCTGTGCCGACCACGGGCCTGCCGTTCCAGGGCTTTGGGGAGGACGTGGACAGCCACTGCGACACCATTGTGGCCATCGCAGAGGTCATTAAGCTCACAGACCCCTCCCTGCTCTACCTGGAGGTCTCCACGCTGGTCAGCAAGTACCCAGACATCAGGTAACTGGGCGCAGAGCACTGAGTGGGGGGTGGGGTACTTCAAGAGGCAGGGGCCCGCTCCCACCTCATTGCACCCCACACTCGGTGTGGGTCTCAGTCCACTTCACCCTTAACCCCCACTGGGGATGAGGTCTTATGGCATGTCACCTTTTTCCACGTTAAGGGTGGGGTCTCGCTGCCCATCACCTGTGCCCACAGCCCTGGGGGTGTCAGGCGCCCCTGTGGTGCCCCGTCTGGGTGCCGGCCTCATGCTTTGCCCCCGCCCAGGGACGAGCACATCGGCGCGCTGCTGGCTGTGCGGGGCGACGCCACGCGGGACATGAAGCAGACCATCATCGAGACCTTGGAGCAGGGCCCGACGCAGGCGAGTCCCAGCTACGTGCCGCTCTTCAAGGAGCTAACGGTGCCCAGTCTGAACGTGAGCAAGCTCCTGAAGTAGCCGTGGCTCCTGGGGCAGGGACGCCCTCGGAAAGCAGCAGCAGCGGGGCCTTCGAGGCTCTGGCCAGGTGCGGGGACCTGCCTCTGCGGGTGCTGTGACTGTTGGAAAGGCTGTGTGGGGACACGGCTCTGGAGAACCGTGTGTTCTCACAGCTGGGGACTCCGGGCAGCCTGCCTGTCTCATGGTTGGTGCCGGTCACAGTGACGGAAGGGCGTGCGGGGACACTCGGTCAGCATGGTCTCTGCTCCCTCCAGCTGCGTGCGTGTGAACACATCCTGCTTCTGGAAAGGGCCGCAAGGACCCATGCACTGCTTCCCTGAAGTCCTTGTCCTCTCACCCAATGTTCCGAGAGCCCAGAGTGGCTCTACAGCTGGTGTACTCGGGCTCTGAGGAGAAGCCCCGGGGCAGCCACGACTGCACTGCGGCCGGGGGCCCAGGTCATGACCCCCAAGTCCCTGCCCTGGGGGAAGCTCGACTGCTCAGCCCCCAGCCATCTCCTCCCCCGCCTGCCATCGATGTCACCTGGCACAGGGTGGTCATCTGGCCTGGTGGGTGCCGCCAGAGGACTCACCCAGGTCGATGGTCAGTATTGTGAGCGTACGTGTGGAAAAGCCACACTTAGCGTCATGGGCAGGAGGCGTATAAAGTCTGCTGACGCTGAGCGAGGTGGAAGCCCGCTCCCCTCTTCCCACACCAGACACCGGTGTGCAGTGTCTTCCCACAACGCTGGCTTCATTTACACTTCATTCTTTAATTTCAAACCAACTTTATTTAAAAACTACTCCCAGAATAAAAACAAAGCCCTGTGTCTGCACCCGCCTTCTCCGTGCATCTCACCGTGGCAGGTAGAAGGCGTCTGCCTTGTGCCTTCACCCCAGGCCCCCACCTCTGCAGACACAGCACCTTCTCCACCCTTCCCTGATTCGGGGCTTCCCTGTGGGGAGGTGCAGGGACTGGGAGGAAGGAGGGCTGGGGCCAGGGACCGAGACTGAATGAAGCCAGAGGCCTAACCTTTCATAAAAACAGATGCACTTGGTCTTGGCGGCAGGGCCTCGGCCAGGGTGCTGGGGGGTTGGGGGTGAGTCCTGAGGCTGGTGGCATTTACTGGGGAGCAGGGCAGGCTATGGAGAGGACCTGGGGTAAGTGGATTCCCAAGTGGACACAGGCACCCGCTGGCCACCGAGACAAGGAAGCAGGTCGTCTCCTGGCGCAGGGGGCTGGTGGGGTGCATCTCCTGGGGGAGGAGGGAGCGAGCAGGCTGGTTGGGTGGGAGGGGCATGGGGTCCTGACCACTGTGCTGCCTTGTGTCTGAGCTCAGGCTCATTGTCTATAAAAACCCATCGACTTTCTTGTGACAGAACCTTGTGATTTTGGGTGTTCAGTGGGGTCCCAGGAAATGGGGAGTGGGGTTCCTGAACCACAGGTGTCTGGCTGGGAGGCCCCACGAGGGAGGGAGAAAGGCAGGGTTCCAGAAGGTCGGGGGTTTCTTCAGAAAGGTGGGGCGGGGCGTGTCTCCCAGCTGCCACCATGTCCACGTTCTGACCCGGTGGAGTGTGTCTGAGGGAGTGAGTGGTGGTGGCGGCCATTTCACCCTAGCCTTTCCCCAGCGCCCAGGCAGTCTTCCAGAGTGGCTCGCCAGACGGAGATCTCCCCCGGTCACAGTGCGGCTTGTTGATGTGCTTATCTTAATGCCAGGGCCACAACACAGCCACAGCTGTCTGCGAAGCAGCTCTGTGGCTTCTGGGTGGAATTTCTCCCATCATTTACAAACAGTCTGCAGCCAAAAGTGCCTTGGAAACGTTTTAATCGAATCAGTCAGGAGGTGGTTGCAGGGCTCTGTTGAAGGGGGCCTCCCTCCCCAGACCCTCCCAGCAGGGCATCAGGAGGGACATTTTAAGGCACGTCGTGTTGTGATCGGGGTTACGCAGTGTGACAGATTCTTCACAACACATGGACCCGGCCTGGCACACTCCTGACTTCGGGGACCTCTCAAGTCCAGTTCAGCCAAGTCCGGCCTTTAAGCTTCCTATTGCAGCAGATGCGCGGTACTCAGTGGGGAACGCATTACCAACATCAGCTTCCAGAAGGATCGGAAGTGAGGAGGAGTGATTGCTTTAATGTGTGTCCTTTACCACAAAGTCCAGTATTAAATAAATAGCAATCTTAGTAAAAATCTACAACAGCGTTTTCCTAAGGAAATACATTCACGTGAGTGTTTACATTGTTTCACAATGAGGACAACGGGCGCTCGCTCTCTGGGAAACGTATCCACGGTACGGGATGTGTAACACTGCTTAGACTGCAGCTGCTTCTCCCTTAGCTCCTGGTGCAGGAGGAACTCGCGTCCAGAGTGAGGTTGCTGCCTCTCTAAACAGTCGTGCCTTGCAGACATGCTTCACCTGTGCAGCCCACACCCGCAGAAAGCCTGGAAGGTCGCGCCTGCACTCGAATCAATCACAGGGATGCTTTCAAACGGACCACCGGCAGTTGTCCTTGTCATTCTATGCTGATTTGCTGTTTCTGGCCCCGGGGTGGGGGGGAGGCAGCCCAGAAAGTGGTCCAGGCTGGGAAAACGGTATGCGGCGGGGACACTATGGATGGCCCATTAGAGCACTGGGAATGCCAGGCTCCCTCGCTCTGCTCTGGCCACAGCAGGGAGGCACTTGGGAAGGTGGTTTCGCTCCTTGGGCCATGGAGACTTTGCCCCAGAGCACATCTGTTGACAGGGTGGCTTCCCCGGGGGAGTGAGTAGGACCCCTGTGGCCAGGACTCAGCCCCTTACTGGACAAATAGTTCTTTGCACTGAGTGGAAGCTGGTATCTTCCTCGGGATACAGCAGCTGTGATGCTTGTCGCTCACTGGGCAGGTCTGGCTTTGGGATCACTGATTGGCAGGTTTTGTTGCCTAGGCAGTGCTGGATTTTGTGTTTAAAGACAGCTGATTAAAATGGTTACAAGACAGACAACGAGGAAGACCAAACGCGGCTGCCCTTGAGCTGTCCTGGCTGAGCTCCTCATTAAGGAAACGAGGCCTTCATCCCTGGAACAGAGCCGCCTCTGTCAGTGACAAGCCAGCAACCAGTGGCAGGTCTGCGGGCAGACACAGTCCACAGTGACGTTTTCCCTTTTTCCTTTAACAGTAAAGCTATGAACAGAAAATTGTTGGCCTTTACAATCACGGACTCAGTGTGCAATATTAATACAAACTGTTAATGCCTCACCGCAGACGCTTTGAATCTGAGAGTGCCCCAGAGTGGTCATGAGACAAGTCATTTCATTTTCCTGAGCAATGAGCAGAGTCGGGTTGGTTTGTGGAGGATCTTGGAGTGTTTGTGCCTCCACGACCCCTCGGTCCTGTACCAGCGGCGGGAGAGCAGAGCTTGGACTCGTGGGTCACACCAGGCGCCTGCACGGTGCGCCGCCGCGCCCCACCCCGCGAAGGCCGGACAGAACCGTGCGCCCCTGGCGGACAGCTCTGGTTCGAGGCCACGTCCCTGAGACTTGGTGAGGGTAGGTGAGGGCGCGTGGGTTATGGCATCCCGGGGGCAGACCCAGGGGCCTCCGCCAACAGGTGTCGTGCACGTGCCTCCACGTGTGTTCCGGAGCACGGCGGCCTCTGAGCACCACCTCGGCCCTCCTGGTGCTGAGGGATCCCTCAAAACCCGGCTCCCTCCTGGTTGCACGCGTGTGGCCGCCCCCTGCCGATCCCCGCCCACCAGATGCTTGTCCGCGCGCTGGGACCCTGTGGCGCGCCCCACCGAGCAGGGCCACCCCCAGGTCCGGAGGACGCCGGTTCCAGGGGCGGGCGGCGCCTGGCAGCCGACAGGGCTCCCCTGGGGGGGCTGCACCCCCAGAGCGCGCCCTCACAGCGGCGTCTCCTCTTGCTCCAGCGAGTGCGGCGGCGTGTGGCACGGCG